ATGCATAGAAATCCATTTATGTGCAAGTCATCTGAAATTATTTATGTGGAGTCAAGCTTAATACAGAGAAAATTAAATATCTACTGCATGCTCAGCAAATGCCAAGCAGTATTCTAAGCAAACTCTGGATTAATTCCTAGTCTTCCTAATTACACCTTGTAAGGGTTACCACTGTTGATACCATGTGTGCAGTAAGGAAACACGTCCAAGGTTATAGCTAATTACAAGGATTTAGCCCAGCTCAGGAGAACTGTGCAGCAGAACCCATGCTCTTAACCACAAACCACACTGCTTAAGAAGTAGATGTGGCTGTTTGCTGGGGGGGGGGCAATAGGAAACACATTCCATGCAGACCCAGGTAGGCTACTTGTACTCCCACACACACACACATTCAGCTTGTCCAAGTCCCAAGACTATTTGCCAGGGTCAGCCCCCTCTTCTCAGCCCATCTCCTGCCCTTTTGGACTCACAGGATCCCTGGCCCACTTGATACCTGAGACCTTTAGCCAACACACAGGAATTTCAAGCATGGAGAGATAGAAGGTAGTGGTACAAGGGGTTAAAGTGGTACAGGAAAGGCTTAATGGGGAGAGGACAGAAGGACAGCCTACATGAGTGACTATGGAGAGGGATAACACTAAAGACATCTTGAATAAAATCGTAGGGAAACTTTCTACTATACAACCTTCCTAAAATACATGCATGCACTTATATAAAGAGTTACCTTATAATTGGGCAACAATGCCCCTACTAGATACCATAGAATAGCAAATAAAAAGTCCAGTGTTAGTAATGGCTTACCTTCTTTGGAGTTGTTGGCAAGTCAAGTCCCATATACCTCCAAACATTACAGGCTATACCAATACTCTTGGTTACCCTCCAGAACTTGAGAGTTAGACCCAATTGCTGCAGGTACTTGAGTCACAGAACATAAAGAATTCAAACTGTACTGACCGTGCAAGCTTCATCCCTCCTGGTTACCTTTCATAATGCTGGAAGGTTTCATACATGCTACCAGAAGAAAAAAAGGTCACCAATTGCATTTTGAATGTAACTGGTCCCCATAACTTCATAGGGAGTGGCACTATTTGGAGGTGTAGCTTTTTGGAGTAGGTATGGCATTGTTGGAGGAAGTATGTCACTCTGGGGGTGGGCTTTGAGGTCTCATATATGCCCAAGCCATGCCCAATGCCACAACCCATGGCCTGTTGCCTGCAAGACGTAGGACATTCAGCTACTTCTCCAGCATCATGTCTGTCTACAAGCCACCATGTCCCCCCATGATAATGGAATGAACCTCTGAACTGTAAACAAACCACACAAATTAGATGTTTTTATTTGTAAGAGTGGCGTAGGTCATGGTGTCTCTTCACACCAACAGAAACCCTAGGACACCAGTCTTACCCAACTGTTTGCCCTGCCAGCTACAACAATGAGGCGCCTAGGAAGACATGCCCACTGATGCAATAGTAGCACAAATGTCACAGTAGTAAGCAAATACTTTCTACTTGTGTCTAAGGCCCAATCCAAAAGTTAAACCCCAGGCCTGACACGGTTACCAGGGCCAACACCTGTGACTAGACAGGACAGAGGCTCTGGGGTAGAAACCAGTACTATTACTCTGCTAAATGATCACAGTATTAAATCAACTCTTAATGACTTATCATCATGCACTAGATTAATTCTCAACTGCCATCAGTGAAGCTTATTTCCAGTAGACTGCAGTTAGCACAGAGATCTACAGCAATCAAGGTGCAGAGAATAAGAGACTGGAGACTGCTGAGCCCTAAACAGGACATCTACATCACAAATCCCCCTCCCAGGGCTCAGGGACTGATGGTAAAGAGGGCAGAAAGACTGTAAAAGTCATAGGTGGTGAAAACTACAAGCAAATAGTGTTGCCTGGATAGAGCAGGGCCAGTGGCGCAGATGAATTACAGAAGCTGAGACAGTATGCACCAGACCTGTGCAGAATCAGACCAGACAAAATTCCAGCATGGAGAGAGGAGGTAGAAAAGTCCAACCCTTACCAAAGGAGCTACTGGCAATTGATTACAACTAGGAAAAGGAGAATCAATTTTCTTTTAAGACACAGGCTCTGGTGGGTAGATCACCCTCCTGTGAAGACCACATATCCAAGAACATATGGACAGCATAAACTGTACTTTGTGTGTTTAAATAAAAAGTAAAAACAAAAGGAATAAAGTTGGGTGGGTAGGGAAGAGGGGATGGATGTGGGAGGAGTCGGGTTGCAGTGAATATAATCAGAATGCATTGAAAACTTGCCAAAGAACTAATAAAATAAGAGGAAAGAAAGAGATGAAATCTAACTGAAGAACAACACTACATATTGGCATTCTTGTGTTTTTTCTCAAAAATCTCTCATGATAATCTAGTTTTGCTATAAACCTCTATTATAATCGATTCTAATATAAACATTTATTCAAGGTAATTTAATTATTAATCTGTTCCAAACAAAAATTGATTTAATCTCCCAAGGACATTACTATGGAGTACTTTTAGAGTAGTGGTATCTTACTGACCTGTTAGTTTATTTGTGTTAGGAATTTAGGCATCATCGTCATCACCATCCTCCTTCTCATCATAATAATAATAAAAACAAATATAGGAGAGGATTAAAGAAGGGTCTCCAGAGACAGTACAAGCCATGCTATCATACAACAAGCAAGGTGGATACAGCAAAAGTATCCTGCCAAACACTAGTCTATCTGGCATGTCTTAGGGAAGGTACTCCGCACACTACCAGAGGAGAAACGTGAACACCAGTCACCCACACATGCTTTATCTACAATGGTTTCTTGCCTGCACGATATGCGAGTACAATGGTGGTTCAACACTTGAGGGAGTAAGCAAACAACAACCTCCTCAATATGGAACCACTCCCAACATTGCTCATGTGATCAAGAACCTGAGACAAGACAGAACGCCCGGGGACTTAGGTAAAACCACTCAAAATGCTCTAAAAAAAAGTAGTGATAAAATTTTTCCTACTGGTATTCTGCTGTACTCACACATCAGTGACTTGTTCAACCATCATCAGAGAAGCTTTCTTCTGCAGTAGATGGGAGGGAACAAATACAGAAACCACATTACGTAGAGGATGAGAGAAAGACCTCAGAACAGTCATCGCTACATGGGAGTTTTCCATCAAATCCCTCTCCTCACAGCTCAATGGAAGAGGAGGAGGAAAGAATGTAAGAGCCAGAGGACATCAAGAAAATAAGGCCCTCTAAATCAACATGAGCAAAGCTGATGTGAACTCTCAGAAAGAGAAGCAGCCTGTGCAAGGCCTGCATGGGTCTGTACCAAGTTCTCTTCATATGTATCATGGCTTCCGGTTTAGTGTTTTCTTGGGATGCCTGAGTGTGTAAGTCTTGTACCTTTTCTTGGGCTTTTCTCCTTCTGTTGGATTGCCCTGTCCAACTGTCATAATTTTTTATGTATCTTACAATATTTTGTTTTGTTATATTTTAATATTATCTTTTAAAAGTCTATTCTCTTTTTTCCTTATTATTTAAATTAGAAACAAGCTTGCTTCACATGTCAATCCCAGCTCCCTCTCGCCCCCTCTCCTCCCCCCCCCCCCACTCTTCATCAACCCCTCCCCCAGCCCCCAACCCATTCCCCCTCTGCTCCTCAGGGAGGGTGAGGCCCTCCAAGGGGATTTTCAAAGTCTGTCATCTCATCCCAGGCAGGGCCTTGGCCCTCCCCCATGTGTCCAGGCTGAGAGAGCATCCCTGCATGTGGAATGGGCTCCCAAAGTCCATTTGTATGCCAGGGATAAATACTGATCTACTATCCGAGGCCCCATAGCTTGCCAAGGCCTCCTCACTGACACACACGTTCAGGAGGCCTGGATCAGTCCCATGCTGGCCTCTCAGCCCAGAAGTTTGTTCTTTCCTAATGAGAGATAGAAAGGGAGTGGATCTGGATGGGGGATCCAGATGAGGTGAGAAGAACTGGGAGGAATGAAGAGAAACCATCATCCAGGTATGTTATGTGAGGAAAGAATCCATTTTAAACACAAGTGCAAAAAAAGGAAGTATCTTAGATACATAGGAACCTGTAGCTACATGTATTTTCCATAGACTTTGGTTAAAGCATCACCAGTAACTATAAATAATCCAATTTATACGTGGAAACTGTTACAATAAGAGAAACATGTTGAAGAACCACAAACGTCCAGTCCAATCTTATTTTCCATGAAAACATGCTGAAGCAGGACTAATTCAAAAGGTAAAAGGTAGCCACAGTAAAGGCTGGTAAGCTTCATACCAAATTTGAGCTAATATTAATTCATAACTAAAAGTATAAGAAGTTATGAAAGACTAATGACATCTTATAAGCCTATTATGTGTTGTATCATACTAGATGTCTACAATGAGGCTCGCAATTCTTATAAATACTTACTCATTTATTTGTCAGTTTTGAAATATTCTAATACAGCTGAAATAGCTTCAAACCTGTTATACAGCTGAGGCTAGTCTTCACTCCTAATCCTCCTGCCTCCCTTTCCCCAGTGCTGAGATTACACTCCTGCCTCACCACTAACATTCATAATACCCTTTCATAAGCAAATATACTATCTCCTGTTTATTACTGTGAAATATGATACAAAGAAGGCTTTGCAAGCTGTAGAGCCATTTATAAGCATAAGATTAACACTTCAATTTTTATAATAGCAAATAAGTTAGAAGTATAAATGCCCCCCAAGTACAGCTTTGACTATTCCTACCAATTAACTCAAATTTACCATAATTCAAAGAGTATCACTGATTCAAAATTTCAGTGTTTCCAGGTAGAAAGAGAACTGATTTAAGCATGGCCCACTCATCAGATCGATGCCAACCCACAAACTCTTACTGCTGGGTGATGGAACAGGTACAGAAACAGGTGAACACAGAATCTTAGGAAAATCTAGAATTGCCTCACAGTTTTGCAATTTCCAAGACACTGACACACTGAAACTATTTTGACAGATAACTTGAGAATCACTGAGCCAGGCCACAGTTCTCACATGTCCTTCAAGTGGATATGAGATTAACATTCCTACAACAAAGGATGTGGCACACTGTCTTCTCCAACCAACAAGAGTGGACTCCGTGAACTTCCCTTTCCTGAGAACACTTCCCTTGAAATTGAGATGTAACAGCTACTCGGCTTTGCCCATGCAGGCAACTGCAATATTCTACAATGGTATTATCTTGACTTTAATGTGCCAAAGAGTCACCAAGGGAACCTTTTAAACTACAAAGACACCTGAGCATGTCTCTGGAGACAGAGTCTACAGCACTGACAGGCTGCCACATGGTACCAGATGCTACTGTCGTGTGGCTCACGTGTGAAACCAACAAGATGACCAAAAATGCAAAGCAGAAAACTGCCCCAGAACACTGGGTTGTTTAAAAGACGGAGAGGAAAATGGCTGGAATTCAGACCTCTGTACTTGTGGCCTCTACTGGGCCCTAATCCTAAACCTAACTAGAACATGTTTATAACTGTAGAAGATTCACGAATATCAATGTAAATATTTACTCACAAATTTATTCATGTCAGTATAAATTTATTCATGTAAGGATAAACAAAACTTGAAGCTCTACTGACCTTTTAAGATAGCTAGACTTCAGTGTGTAGACTGTAATGATCATTTACATATTAAATATATCTCATTAACACATACTTGTAATATATATTAGACATTGCATTCTCTTCCATGATGGCAAATAAATTCCAACTTAGCTCTCAACTTCTTAAGAAGATACATGCAATTACGTAAAGATGCTTTTCTTTAAATCACCTCTGCAAATAGCTTCACAACTGCTAAAAAAAATTAGTGAGTATATTCTGCTATTGGGGCAGAAAAAAACAACTAAAAATATGTTTATCAATAAAGTCAAAAGTAAACTGGGCGTTGGTGGCCTACGCCTTTAATCCCAGCACTTGGGAGAAGGCTGGATCTCTGAGTTCAAGGTCATCCTGGTCTACAGAGTGAGTTCCAAGACAGCCAAAGCTACACAGTGTAGAAACCCCCTTCTTGAAAAAAAAAAAAAGCCAAATGTTGTTTTAGGTGGCTACTTTGTACCAACAAATATGTAGGTATGCACAGAATAGAGAGTACTAAAATTTTACTGTATCCATACAGCCATAATTTGTATTTGAAAACCCTTAATATGAATCAAATTTGAATTATCAAAGAAACAATATATACTTCTAAAGACTTCTGATGAATTTGTAATTAAATGAACAAAGATAAAAATGGTTAAAAACTACAACCAGAAAGGTCAACAGAAAAATTACCAACAGCAACCAAAACAAGGGAAGAACTGTATCCTCATCTTGCTCCACTTCAAAATGTTGCCAACTAAAGATGATTCAGACATCCTGCATACTATGCTATGCCTACCCATCCCATCCCAAGTAAAACTCAGCAAAGTAGTCAAATCAACATGATCCTGCAGAAATCGCATTTGCTAGGCTTTGAATATGCTTTTCCCCTTCATGCTGGAGCTTAGTCTCCATTCTAAATTATCAGAGGATGGAAACCTAATGTAGGGTTTAGGAAAAGGGCCTGTGGAAAGGGACTAGAGAGTCCATAGGGCTATCAGAGCAGAAACCTCCATGATACCAGTAGCTTTATAAGAAAATGAAAGCAACAAGTGCTCCCTGCTGTTGCCACCACCTCAGACTGCCATCACAAGAATGCCATCATCTGAGGAAGTCACTGTCCTACTTATGAGTCTTGGGAACTAAGCAGAGTCACTGAGATGCCTAATACCCATGCTTTGTGCCCTAGCCAGCAACAAATAAAGTGTGTTTTCCATTGCTCATGACTGAAAGTTAACCAAAGAGAAACCTGATGTTGACCCTCTCTTTTCAGAAGTTTATAAAATTATAAGCCATTAAATTTGACCTTATTTAGAAAATTTCTCCACTGATATTTAATATCTAATGTTTCATATTAGGTATTTCACAAAAAACAAAATTCACCTTAACGCCCAAGTTCTTCAAAGCCCTAAGAATTTAGTAAAATTACAAATGCCTTTTATTTATTTTTATTCCATTTACTTATGGAGGTAGGGAACATAGGTCAGAAGGCACTACTGGAGGTCAAAGGACAACTTGCTGGAGTCAGCTCCCTCCTTCCATCATGTGGGTCCCAGGGCTCGAACTCAGGTCATCGGGCTTGGCTGCAAATGTCTTCACCTGCTGACTTATCCCCTAGTTGTTTTTTGTTGTTGTTGTAAGTTCTTTTTTTTTTTTTAGCATCACCAATTAGCATAGTCTTCATGGCAGAATCTTCTGAAAATCTACAGTTAAAGTATTTTAACTTGAATTTTATATCTAAATCACATGTGAGGGGTTGGAGCACAATTTTAAAGAACCTTTAAGTATCTATTTATGCCTCAAAATCACTCTATCTCTAATGTTGGTAAGTTGTTAAAACAATACTGGCCTATCACATGATCAGAAACCTCTGAAATGTCCATTTTCTGTTAGAGAAATGAATGCCTTTCTAATGCACTCTAACGCACTTTTCCCACGTGCCCCTCTTTGAAGGCTAATCTCATCTAAAAGTGCTGAGATTTTTCAGTACTTGAGTGTATCCTCTCACTCAGAGGTCACTTCTCAGGTCAGTATTGTCCAACAGAGACACAGTATTATCAGCCATATACATAACCTTAAACATTCCAGTAGTCACAGTAAAAAAGAAAGAAAGAAAGAAAATCAATTCTATAGATGTGTAAGCACCTGTGTCCGCATGTGCACGAGAGCAGGTATCCGCAAAGACAGAGTCATCACATCCTTCGGAGTTGGCTAAGACAGCATGCAAGCAGTTGTATATCTGATGTAAGTACTAGGATCTGAACTCTGCAAGAGCAGTACTTGTTCTTAACCACTGAGCAATCCAGCCAGTCCCTCTAGCAGTCACATTTTAAAGTAAATAAAAATAGAAAAAAAATGTTATATTTAGTACAATATTTTGAAAATATTATTTTGATATATATATGTAAAATATTGCAAACTTTACACTTTTATCCTAAATTTCCCAAACTAGGTACACATCTCACAGCACATCTGAACTTGGACTAGACATATATTTTAAGTGTTCAGTAGCTACATGTGGCCATCACAGTACACTAAAATGTTCCCAAAAGCTTTTATAGTGAAGGCTCTGAACCCAATGCAGCCGTGTTTAAGATGAGGTCTTTGAAGAAGCAAATGGATGATGGGGGCTCTGATCTCATCAGTGCACTTATCCATTTGATAAGCTCATAATCAAATAGTGATATATTATTTATGGTTTATTAAAGCTTGATTGAAGAGTCAGAAAAGCAAAGACAGGCTCAAGCTATAGAGATCAGGCAGTGGTGACTCACACCTTGAATCCCAGCAGCCAGAAGCTAGGAGGTGGTGGTACACACTTCTAATCCTAGGACTCAGACTCAGGATTAAGAAGTAAATGGATCTCTGTGAGTCCAAGGCCACCCGGATCTACACAAGAGTTAATCAGTCTAAAATAGAATTATAGTTCACATCTTAATTCCCAACATTAGGGAAGTATAGAATGTTGGGGGGAAGTCCTGTGCATTTGTCAATAAAGCACTGCTGGCCAATAGGAATCTAGATAGGTGGGACTAGGAGTCCAGGAGGACTCTGGGTAGGAGAAACACAGGAGAAACTCAAGAGTCAAGATGTAACGCCATGGAGTAGGAAGCCCAGAACTATTCTCCGGTAAGAGAAATACTCAGATTAACAATTATGGGGTAACTACTTAAGTCAGAGCTAGCCAGTAAGAAACAAGCAAGGCTAACAGCTTCATAATTGATATAGCCTCCTGTGTGTTTATTTGGGACTGATGCGGCTCTAGAACCAGGCTGGCGGGAAGGCTTCTCTCAAGGACAAAGCTTCTCTTTACAATAGAAGACAGAAGCAAGGTCTCAGTAGAGGCACTTGTTCTCTGGCCACGCTGAGGAATTTAGAGTCTGAGGCTTGGCGAGAGTTCATGGAGACAGGGTCAGCCCATTCAACCTGGGGCAGAGGTAAGAAGCTAGTGGCCAGCTGCTTTGCTGCTCTGATATTCGCCTTGAACCCAGTATCAGTGTCTGGGTCTTTTACTTTTTCATGTTACACAAATGCACTATTAGAAGGTGAAAGTGGCAGAATCTATAGTTGGGAGGGTGGAAAAGGGGAAAGTAGATTAATAAAAAGTCTGTCTTAGAAAGATAGCTTGTTTCTTCTGCTCCTCCCCAGTGTCAAGGTATAGTCAAATAACCAGGGTTGAAAGCATGAGCTAAAATAAGTCTTTCTTCCTTAAGATTATTTTTCTTGGGTCTCATCAAAGGAAAGGCGACTAACCCAATGGCTAACACCTACTTCACTGGTCAGGAGGAGCTGCAACTACCAGCTACACTCACACATCTCCAAATTTTCTCTCTCTAGTCTGGTCTTCACTCCTGAGAACATGATTAGTATTTCCTAATACCTAGCTAACATCTTATTTCAAATGACTCATGATCCAACCACCTGCAAAATATCACCTAATAAACTAAATTATAATTGATTTATATAAGCCTGAAAACTAGAATCAATTCCTTACTACTACCTTTGTCACCCTTTGTAATATTGGTCACAAATATCTTTGAAGCCAATCTATTGTACTCAATGTCAACCTCACCATCTCCTGCCCAGCTCCAACTACTGCAGTGCAAGGATATCTGAAATTCAACCCGTGATGTCACAGCTACCATAACACCCATCCCAATAAAAACTCATCAACTTCTCTCTATTACTATGAAATAAAGGTAAAATATACTGATTTGAGAAAATGCCTGCTACAGCACAATGTTCCAAAATTATTTATTGAATAGACAAATTGATGGATCTGTCTGCTTTTTTTCCTAGACAAAAATTGGAAACAATGGTAAGACAGGATGTATAAGCCATGCTTACATATTACTACATTGGAAACTTTTCCAGGCTCCCAAATCTGGGCTAATTGTTTTTAGATGTGCTTCAACACCATTCTACAAGTAGAACAACAGTGCAGAACATGTTTAAATTCTGCCTGTCATACATCACTACACTCCAAAACAAACACAGTATCATGCACACAGGAAGCATAAATATTTACTAAGAGTACTTCAGTAATACATATTGTTAGTATCTCTATAGTGACTTATTAATGTAAAGACAGCATGTATCCAATACCACTACTAAGAGGACCTATTTGTCTCTACTTTAAAGACCACAAAACTGCAATCAATACATGTAAAAAGGGCCTGTAAATGCAGGCATGAATACACACACACACACACACACACACACACACACACACACACGTACGTACGTACGCATGTCCCCTTTTGAGGTTATAGTACACACTAAGTTCCCAGTCTTTTCCTTTCCATCATGACTTTCTTTTCTGTTACCTGTATCTTTGACTTGATGACTGAACGTATCACCCTACTGTCACATATTCTTTTCCTGAATGCTTTTCTTCATTTTGC